TTCGTCTTGCTCAACACTTATGAATATTGCCGTAAATAATTATCCCATCTGGTAAGTTAATTATGTAAATTATATTTTAATATCAATTAATATTAGAGTATAATTTTCCTTTAGGTAGACAGAGAAATAGATTAACTCTTTATTGCTCATACACAAAAGAAAAGTTAACAGCTAGTTTCTTGATTCTAGAGTACGCATTCTAGGTGGTATTATAAGTAGTCTTGTCGCTAAAAGCTGACAACCCTTGTCTTAAACAGTATCTGAAGGACGTGGTAGTGTACCAACATCAATTAAATAGGATTAAATAATTCCTTTATTTCGATTATTGAAATTTATTATAAAACGAAAATTAGCATTTCTAAATTTAACATGTAATATGATTTTATTAATACTGTAGAAAAGCTTATATTGAAATGTAGTAAAGTTTTTGTGTCCTGCAATTGAAAATACAGGTTTCTGTTATATTTTCCGAAAATACGACCGATTTTAACTTATAAATATTAAAATATTAATTTCACTAACTTCGAAAATTTTACGTTCTCAAATTTTAACTATTATTCGCAGACGTGTTATTACTTTTGCATTATTTCTCATATATTAATGGTCTATTTATTTATAAAATATAAAAGTAGTTAACTAGCCTATTATCGATTACAAGTTACTTAATTACTATTTTTTCCGCGAATTCATAAAATTATATTATTCATACTTTTGACCAGTATCGAAGTATTGACTTACCTTCAGCCAAACTCATAATCCATTTTTATTTTTGTTTGAATTGAAAAAACTAAAAAGCGAAACCGACTTTGTATTTATAAATACATGATATCTCCGAATAATCATTGATTGTCTCTGAAGAGAACGTTATTGAAAGTTTATAGGTTGCCAATCATCGCATTGGTCACCGTTATGTGACTACAAACCATCATGCACTAAAGATAGTTCAGTCAAATTAGCGTACAAAGGGGTAAATCTCGTAATAGAGGAGCTGGAAATTCGTATAAAATTTCATCAGAGCATTCTAAATTCTAAAAACACAATATTTTATTGCAAACCATATTAATTTGGAAATTTATTTCTTAATAATTATGTTGTTCAAATGCTTACTCTTGCGTTGGTACTCATTTAATCTATCGCTAAAATTTCTGATGACAGCTTTACAAGTTCTAATGACGGCTTTAAAATATCACAAACTCGAGGCAGAGACACATTTGACGTGTGTAATGTCGCTCCAGCCAGCTGTAACCATGTCAAAGATAGGAAAATTATACAGTTTAAGTATCAAAAAATCATCTAACGTCTTTACATAACGTTCTGAATTAACTGTAAGTGCATCTAATTAAGTTATTTTAGCTATACATTAATTGAGTGCTGAGAACGCGACATTATTTTTAAGAAATAAATTCCCAAAGAGAGTATTTCAGGAATAAATAAATATCTATTGATAATGTTCGTTCTTTTTTACGTAAATAAAATTTATTTGGAGTTGTTCGGTTTTTCTTGATTATCTTGGGTTTTTAAAGCTAAAAAAGTGCAATAATGTGGTTTCTTTTCACAAAAAAACATAGATAATTAAATTTTTACAATTTATTTTTACAATTGTAATCAATTTTGAATTTAAGGAAGGGAACTTAGAACACAAAGTGAACTTTGGTAAATAATGCCTTATCAAATGTTATCAAAGTTTAAATTTATAAATAAAACAAGTTGATTATTTTTAACTATATTTTGATATAACTTTGTAGGTACACAGTAATATTTACCGCGATTCCCTGTTAAACTTTATATGAACATATTTAGAACAAAATTTAAACCCATATAACTTCCTCATAGATTATAATAGAGTTGGAATTATAGAAATAGATATAAACATGATTAAAGGATTTGAAGGACCATTGACCTTGAATGACTTAAAACGTAGACAATGAATTTATTAAAACCTTTAGAACGATTTTTAGAACCATAAATGTATGCGAGTCTTTAACTTGTCATCTCTCATTCCGAGATACAAAAGAATATATGACTGGGCTACTTCGTAAAATTGCACAAATAAGCCTGCGGCCAGCAATGGGCTCTCAACAAATATCAGCCCCTTATTTATGGCGGGACAGACAAATATTAGAAGGTTTGCCTCTAAAGATTATACCAAAACCAAATAAATATAGTATTATAAAAGATTATAAGATATATTTCTTAATATATCTTATAATATCAAGTTCTTAACTATTTCTTATAATTCTTATTATAAGAAATAGTTAAGAACTTGATATTTGAGAAACTAACGGAATACGAGGGATTCTACGTAAAAGTAAATAAATTCCATGGCTCCGTATTCAGATTATACGTAAAAAAGTTTGTTTCACTTTCAACGATCTGAGATTATAAGAAAAGTATTTGAATTATTACTTCAATTTGTATTTTTATATGTATTTGTATCGCATACGAAATACAATTTTCTTATTTCAATTTTAATGTTTCTTTTGATTAATATATGTTTCAATATCTTCCAATTTGCTTAGTGCCACCGTCTAAAGGGCATCGAAATATACAGAATTAAGTACCTATGCATAATGTCTTTGACTTTATTAAATCACAAATCGACTTTAATATCAAATAACATTATTTATTCTCAGAACGGGTCTTTACCAACAATTCTTTTCTCAATAAATGTCGTCCCCTTTATTTAACATTGATAAATTTAATTTGCATTATTAATTTTATTTATCAAAACTAATAGCTTTGTTAAATATATCAAATAAATATATATATATATATATATATATATATATATATATATATATATATATATATATATATATATATATTTTATAAGAAATTGATATGAAAAAAAAACTATACATATTACTTTTTTTATTACAACAAACATTGACGTTGTATTATTCCTTTAAAATATATTTGCAACGAGTGTCTTTATGCATTACATTTACCGGTTTGCTTTGATCTATTCAAGTGACTGTAAAAATACAGTGACAATGACAGATGTGGCGGTGTTGTAAACACAATGGTTTTTATTCCTTTACGTATAGAATTTAATGTATACTGGCAAGAGTAAGCAGGGAGTTTAGATCTGGCAGACGTTATCGCACGTCCCACGGACGGCTCGGACGCTGTCGAAGGCTTATCTAACAAATCCTCCGACAGCGAGCTCGGTCGTTTGATTATAACTTACGACGCTAATCTTTTATCGGGAATCCAGGAAAGAGACTATTGAAAATCGTATGTACCATTCATTTAATCTCTTTGTAATAATATCATATTACTTAACACGTTTTTCACGGTAACGGTTTTACTAAATTATTTTTGGCAAATTTTAAAAGCATTGAAAAACTACTGAAGTTCCTAAAAGTGTCCCTAAAATTGTTTAGAAAATTATAAATACATGCAGCGACGCTTAGAAAGTTAATTAATCATCATTGTAATTGACGTTTATATGTCCGTAATCTCTTGTCTAGTTAGCAGGAACCAGTAACTACTTGTCACTAAGCGAGCCGCCGTGACGTATGGTTGTAAAATTTACATGCATTTGACGTACGTGAAATGCATGAAACTATCTAAAAATATCAAAACACTTTTGAATAGAGTATTCATAAATATAGTCATTTATATCAAGAATTCTCGTTTATATACTTTGTTATGGGACGCCACGGGTCGTTTCCCCGAACTGTTCCAGGGATTGTGCTCAATTCAGATAGCACAGATAACTCCGACGCCATTGTCTCAGGGAATGAACGTGACATCACTCCTATAGAAGTCAGATACGGGAACTTTACAAACATTTAGAATTATCTGGATAACATTTTGTTTCGAATTTATAGGCACGTCTACAGGAAGGTCTAATCTTTTCAACGTACATAAAATATTCACTAAAAACTTCAATCTCACATTCCTCGCAACTTTTTAGTGCTTCTATAAATATGGCATTCGAATCGCTCACTAGATACTTATAAGCGGGAGATATTTCTCGTTTCTCTTGAAACAGTGAACACGGCAGCTGCGCCGATGTAACCGGAGCAGAGAAAAAAGTCAGCCATCAACGTTACTATGTAAGTTTCTGAGAAGACACGCCCTGCGATCAGATACTGCGCCGCGTCGATAATGGACCAAGCTCTAAGTAGGTGGCGTTCCACACGGAACCTTTTAGTCGGCAAATAAAGGATTGTCCGACCGTCATAATGTTTTTGATTTGGTCGATCGAGCACGAAGAAAATTACTTGAAACCTTTATTGTTCAACTGAAAGGCCGTAATGGTATTTTAACCATTTCTTCAATTCATTTAACGTTACATCGAACCATTTAAAGACGCGCTCTCTTCGAGAACGGATGCAGTTATTTTTGATGTTAAAGGCTCTTCCATTACTGTTCATCGCTGCGATGTGAGTGATCGATGTAGCGATAAGAATACACCGCAAAAAGCAGTTAAGGAAAATAACAATCGTCCTGTAACGAGATTCTCTTTAAAGACATAAACACACGTCAATTCATCGAACCGAACGCAGAGATGTCATGTGTAGACGTCTGACACCGTACTCGATCTCATAAGACCGGTTATAAAATAACCGACCACAATCAGAACACCTTATACTGTCTGAGATTGGATTTCGATCTAAACATGTTACTATGAAATGGATCTATGTAAGGAATACTGCGACTATCCATTACCTCCTTACTCATGATTAGTTTTACCAATCACTGGGAAGAACAAGTCTATTGAAGACGATAACCTTACAGCCGCATCCGTTAAGTATTGTTCTAGAAATAAATTATTTGTTGTATAATTAAACTTGTTTTAACTATAATAGAACACGTGGTATTCTAATTCTAAATAAACATATGGCGTACCAACGCATCATAGAGTATTCTTCAAATACAAATAAACCCAAACAAACAGTGGTGCGTTAATAATTGGAAAATATCTTTTTTATCATACTTTTGAGGTTACATTTGAAAACTAGTCTATCATAACATAGTTTAAATCATATGAAGTTATGTAATGCAGTTTTTAATTATATACAATACAACAATATAACTTAGAATTTAAGTTTTTAACACCTTTCTAAAGATTAAACTATCAAGTTATGACTATAAAAAGATAATTTATAATGAAAGGAACGTCATAATTATAAAGTATTGCTATATATTTTTATTCACATTTTTTATACGGTTGTTGTATAATCCTTTATTCTCATATAATTGATATTTTTATATTATGATAGTGTACACATCAGTTGAAATTTATAAGTGACAAAAAATCCGGAATTTTAATTAGTAATAGCTTGACATTATATGTATATTCTAAGAATAATAGACATAAATATGTATATTGATTGTGATTGACATAGTAGAATTTTGTTTTGAATTAAGATGACTATCATTCAGTAATTTGACATAGAACATATAAATTTCTTTCAATATATATGTAGATAGATAGTTTATATTTGCACGCCTACTATACAAGGCATAATATTGTTGAGCTTAAATCTAATGAAACAACTGTACTGACACAATATTTATAAACATTTGATTTGAATAAAAATATATTATAACAGTAATTAAAATTAAATCTCACTAAAACATAGTCATAAAGTAGACTTGTTTATTCCTTTACAGAATGTTGTAAATCCCTCAATTGTCGGACTGTAGCGAGAAAAAACGCCATTCATTTCCTTTGCTCCGACAAAAGAACCACTTGCTTGTGAGCTTGACAAATGTATTGTTCAACGAAATGGTATAAAAAAATATTTTTTTTTAATAAAAATGTTTAAAGCCCCGTTGTGTAGCCAAGAAACGGCCAAATCGTGTTTAATAGTGAAATTAATCGTTCGTAAAAATGTGCCGATTCAAAACTAGAGAACTGGGCCGATACTATCGCGACAATTGTTACCATATCTTCTCATTCATTGTCTGGTTAATTGGTCATTAAAATAATGGCTCTGTGTACAATATGGAAGAATAGCGTGTATAATTAATCATTCGTGACGTGTATGAAGTCTTGGAACAATAAACTGTTGAATTGCTAACTATTGTAAATTACATTTATACTTAAAACTATTTGTGAGTGTCTATATTATTTATTAAACAGGTAAATTATTAAATATAAATTTTATTTTGGGTTATATTATCGCTGTCTGGAATATTAATGTCAGTCTTAACAACAATCCTCAACGAAGCTAAGTTTAAGTAATCTTATTAAACTATTTAGGTAACTAAATTGTTTTCTTCAAAAGAGGCTGCAAAGAATTACAATAATTTTTATTTTGAGCTTCTTTTTCTGATTCAGATGCTCCATTTTGTTGTTTTCTTCTTTTCTGTTCAGTGTCTTTGGATTCGCGTGGTTTACGTTTTCTCGCTGCCGGAGATAGAGGAACTGAAGTTTGAGGATTCATACTATCAGTAGCACTTTGCCCCGATGACGACTTATTATCATTAGCATAGATAAGGGCAGATGTTATATCTATCTTCAATTCATCTGTCTGTGTAGATTTCTCGTCGTAACTTATTAAACGAGTCGAATTAGGCAATAATTTTGTAGGCAACGCATCCGGTTTCAATTTGGGAACACTAATCATCATTGATTCTTCAAAATGCAAAGAGCATACAAAATGGTTGTTAGGATTCGTCGGAGACGTCGCTATATCAGGTCGTCCTATTAGCTGTAGCCACTTTTTGCGTCTGAAATGACAAGAAATGTTTTTTAGTTCAAAATAAACTGTTATGTTTGAATTTTGAATACATTAAGACATAGGCAAACGCGTATATTATAATATATTAATGAAAATGCGACTCACGTTTCCTCCTCTTTAGGTAAACGAAAGAATGAGATATGTTTCTGTCTCTTGCTGCTTGAACAGCCGTCCACAGCGCAGTAGTGCATGGCTGACGGCCCGGAACGCGCGGGGCGTGTGGCTGTACGGGCCACCGCCACCCGACTGATTCGTGTCACCGAGGATACAGGGATTGCTGGCACGGCTGCATACATATTACTCCGTTGCCCATTTGTAAAAATAAGTGATTTGTCTATTTTGGGGAGAGTCACTATTTAAGTTTACTTCCACGTGATTGGTTTGGTTTGTTAGAAATGAGGAACAATAGGTAGTTCATTAATAATTCAATGAATATGAACGATGAATATTATGGATCACCGTTAGTTATTTACGTTGTGAATTAAAAGTATTATTTATAATTCTACCTACCAAAATTTCAAGCCAACATAAAATAAATAATTTATATATAGTCATAGTAATTGTAGATTGCCAAGAACGAATTCTTTGGACTGGTGAAGCATATGTTAATAATATACATATATGTTTGCTATAATTTCCATAATTTTGAGACACAACAAAAAAACACATTTACAAAGATTCTTTTCGAATTTGTTGAAAGGAATGATTCAATTATTCCTTTCAATTTGTTGATCTGGTTTGATTAATGTCGATCTTTGTCGATGATGAAATCGATTCTTTTTTATAATGCTTTTATTTAATTGTCACTTTGTACAAAGTATGGGATCCGTTTTTTGGAATTAATATAAATAGAATACAAAGTAATTAGGTATTCCTAGACATCATTGAACTTACTGTTCATAGACATTTAATTTAATGATGTTGGTTTAATGACATTTAGGTTGTATGTAAAATAAAAAATAAACACGTATTTAAAATAAAATGTGTTTAAATATACACTTATTGGTTTTGTCAGTATCGAGTTGAATCAGCAAAGCTATCCATTCCAATTTTTAAAAAGGTATGTAATATTTTTAATTTATAATTAAAATTATTGCATACCTTATTAAAAGTATCAAGGTGATTTGCTCCAACCTAAGGCGTGAATGCAAAACACAATTACCCTTGCTATTTATAATTCCCTAAAAAGAGATCATAAAAGATCAAAAATTGGCATTGAATAAAACAAACAAATTTTCGTTACTAATTTACATCTGTTTTTGAGGATAGATAGATGCATTTTGGTTAAGAATTTGTTATATACGTATAATAAAAAGTTTAATAATAAAACAACAACAGTTAAAGACTTAATGTTTTATTTTACATCAAAAGACGAAGTCAAATAATGATGGCAATACGGCAGATTTACAATCTAAATTTTGCTGTACTTATTACTGAAATGTAGCCAGAGAATTCGTCGTTTGGGGCCCAATGAAAGGATTTCGAGTTAAGCATAAACATGGCTCGCCTAATCTGTCTTGCAATTCCGGAAAATGCCGCAAACAAATATGCTTTAGCAGAGAATAAATTAATGCACTCTCACCGGCGCGCGGTTTAGCTGGAGATTCTGCGCTCTGGGGAATAGTTTTAAGTCCACGGCATATTTTAGGGTTTCCTTTTTAATTAAAAACGTTCCGTTTTTACTTATTGTAATGTGTTCTTTTACTTGTTTGCTTTCTGTTATTTTGAATAACTATGGATTTTAAATTTAATTTGTAGAATATTTGAAAAATCATATTTACCTTTACTCAACTTGGGGCATCAAGAGATTATCACCCAGGTGCTCAAAGGACCTTTAAGGTTCAAAGACGACTTTAAGTAAGAAGTAATTTTTAAATTTAGACCATTCATTAGAGCTTCATATCTTAATTAAACCTTAATGTATGTTTGTGTAACTGGGTGTAGTCTTTTGGCGACTCAAATTATATTTAATACTATCTAAGACATTTGCAAAACGTAATAATATTGTATTAGCATGTAACCTAAAATGTCTATGGTGGGAAATTTGACGCTTACTAAAGGCCAGCCATAAGTCACGTTACATTATCAAGTCACCTCTTCGTTTCGTATCTGCTACACAATCTCTTAGTATAAGACACACAGGAACATGCTTAACCAAATCTATTACGGAGTTTTATCCTGTGCAGTTTGTTTGAGAATCGTGGGTGTATTTTATGTTAACTCGTGAACATTTACAGTCTAAAAACATAGCCACATGATGCAGTATGGAGCTGCGTAAAAGTATATGCCCGCCTCAACTTAAGATAGCGCCGCTGTAGTGACAACTTTTCAATACGACATCTATGAACAAACATCTTAACTTACAAAATATAACCTCATTTCCCCGAATAGAAGTCTGTGTGGAACGTATTTTCTGTCGTATCATGTAGTATACAAATGATAACATTGCAACGACAGGTAGGAGGTACCGCATTGATGTCGCATCGTAACGTGTGGCTTGATCATTATATGTCATCATGAAGTTTGACAGCCGCCTGTCAATATTGAAGAAACGTGATATTCCAGTAATCATTTTTGTACTTATTTATATATACATCAAGGTAATCATCAAAAAATCTTCTAATGTGAATAATGTAAGGAAGCTATTTAGGCACTCGTGAATACAATATAGTGGAGTATTAACCTTATTTTCTCTTTCCTTCTCTGAATTTGACATACCCTTCCTTTCCGCATACACACTCTCATGTGAAAACGTGAAGCTCTTTATGAATTTGCGGTGTCATCTCCCCTATTATAGTTATCAGTTGCGCAGAAAAGCCAGTTTAACAATATTTATATTGCGTAATGCCTTTGATTTCCACACTAATATTAGAAAGAGAGTAATTGGGCGCGTAATGGATAAATACCGTAACACACAATTGATGTTGTTAAGCAAATTTCACAGGGGTTGGTCACGGGATGGGGGACCGAAAGCATTATCTCGAGCTACTCCGTGCTTCCGAAGGAACGATATGCTGTTGGGTCAAGCTGAATTTGCAGTCGTTAATACCCTCCAATCCGCCATTATGGAGGGTAATGACCTATCCTTAACGGGCTCACGATAAACATTATAAATGCGAAAGTAATTGTATGTGTATTTTAAGAAAAAAAAAAGCACTATAAATGCACCTCACTAGATGGCGACTCTAGCAAAAGTTGGTTTTTGCAGGAAACGAATGGACCAAAGATCATTTTCGTTCCTGTTAACTAACATATTAAAAAACTGAAATTTGCAAAGTTCGAAACTTAGATATCAATACAAAACGAAAAAGTACAAATGGAACTATGAGTTGTTAATTGAGTTTTGAAAATTAATTTACTTTTATACATAAAAGAGGTGAAAGACGTAAAATGAAGAGTTGTCATGGAGAAATCAAGAAAGTGCCGTAGCGACATTTGGTTTGATTTCGGGAACTAATTTTTTAAAAATACTTCCTTATTACGTTTTCACGCCTAAATTAGTTAACAATTTTAATAAAATTGGGTAATCAAATAGAATGATACTTGGAAAAGAATAAAGGACAGTTTTTATTGCTATTCTAAAGGGGATCATACCAGAGTATAATAATTTTCATTTTCTATGGCCATACTTACGAATTCCACGCGGGCGACGCCGCGGCGGTAAGCTTACTACCTATTTTATTATGAATAAAATGGAATAAAGACGACGCGTGAGTCGTGTGGCACTAATGACCTCTTTCGTGTGGCATCTTCAATGAATAAATGATAAAAAAATAAGCTGATTATTTTCTTTTTTTTTTAATTATTGAGTATTAGCTAACTCGCCAAGTCAGTAGGTAGGTATACAGCAATATTTTTGCTTAAACTCAATTATCAAACTTTTTCGTTTCCTCTTATAAAACTATGTTTTCAATTGCGATTATAACTAAGATAACAGAAGTTAACTTATTATATATTAGTGTACCAAAATATATTTATTTTATGACGTATGATTATAATAGCATTAAAAACAAACTTAAATTAAGGAAGTATTTTTTTAGTTTAGTTTCGAGAGTGGTATAACAGAATTGACTCATTCTCTCAATATACATTTAATACAAAATATTAATAGAACAGGTTGTCTTATAATTTAAATTACTACATTCTTAATGAGTTTTAGATGGTTCTTCGAGTATTTTAAATTTAGGATCTTATGTAACCCTTGATTAAGGTCGACTAAATCAAACAAGAGTTCATTAATAAAGTAAAAACAAAAAAAACAACGGCATGCTATTTATAATTCGAATTAATGACGGCTTTTGAAGTTAATAATTAAATACAAAAAAGAATAAAATGTCGTCAATTCATTTTATTACCCAAATTTTACTTTTGGAAATTCAAAGATGTTTTTCTTTCAATGAAACTTCCAAATCTGTGGATTGATTAAATTTGCGCTACAAAGTTATGTTTTATCATGTTTAATAAAAATAATTGGTCATAAAACAGATTCGTGCGACCTCCATTCAATATTACCATTAATATGCCATAACTGGAGTAACGTGACATACTATAAATCCAATTTATATAGATTTCTGTTTTATCTTTGATGTAAATTAGTACATAAATAAGAAGTGTCGATTATAATTATAATGGATACCATTAAAGAGGTTATAGAGGTCATAATTGATATCATCTCTGAAGCGAATGTTGTAATTACAGAACAGTGAGAGGATAATTATACGTTCACAAGCTGTAATTCCAACGCGGCATCTAATTCTGGTTCTTATACCGAAATGTAACGCTGTGAGCGCTTATTGCTGCCAGCGACAAAAACCAGATGAAAGGAGCTTTTATACTTAGCATTCCAACCCTCCAGCCAAGCAAAAGGCTCTTTTAAATACTCGTTAAAAGATGGTAAACACTTCTATAATATTAAATCTGTGACGTCTCGAAAGAGTTTCGACTTTTCGTGAAAGATCCAATATTTATCATTGAAAGACTTTTAAAGAGTTTTTATGCCAAACTTTGATGCGGACAGCTATTTAATCAACCCCTTAAACTAAATATTGTCGCAATAGAGAATTTTAACGTCAAAGTGTCGCTTCATTGACGAGAATAGTGAACAAACATCGACCACCCTAAAGAAGGCCGGTATCCGCGCGTCGACCACACAAGCTCTTAATATTACTTGTACATTACCATAAAGCGGTGTACATTAATAGTATTCAACTGAACGGCAAACGAGTGAGCGTAGAAACGGTTCATTGTAAAGCAAATCTGTGATGTACTCACACACACGAAATGTGTACTACAAACG